ACACTATTATCTGCGTGCCTCATCCAACTTGGTTGACTAAAAATTTCTAAGACTTCGTCATCACGTATGTGTCATAGGCCAGCTCATATTAACCTCAAAAGTGAATCACCCGAATGGAGTTCCCTAAAGCTGTTGAATCAACAATTTTGTTAGCATTTCTATCTCAATGCACTTGGAACAAAAGTGGCAATATTCTCCGTGTTGCATTTGTATTCAAATGTAATCTCGTCTTGGAAACCACATCATTCCTTTATTGAGAGGAATAATGACCCGCGATTATACATTGGCCGGCCGTACTGTAGCTTAGCCGGGACCGGTACCATCTTCGTGATCCTTGCCGATGATTAACATCAGTATAAACGATCTAGCTGGCTAGAACTTGGGCAATTTGTGACCAAAGCTATCTTTAACATTGTTGTGTTTAGATATAAAATCTAGGGATGATGTCTAGCTGGATAAACTTGGGGCTTAGTGTAGCAAACGGTGTTGGCGATAGACCAAATATTTTCTAGCGAGTTTTGGTTTTACAATGGTGTACAAATACAAGTCAGGCGAGTGAACTCTTAGCTAGAAGTTGAGCATGTTCATGTCTCTGGAAGAAGTTGTTACAATCCGATTGAAGGAATCCTCTAGCTGGCCGTCTCAGCTTAATTGTATTTTCACAGATCGAAATTGGGAAGCAAGCATGATCAGGAAATGTCTGGCGAATCTTCCGATCAAATTACAATCAATCAGTTTTTTTCCTGCCCATCCAGATGCTCCTAAATTGGAATTAGCGATGGCCTTTTCGGTCTTAGCGCGATTGCCAACCGGGGTTGTAATTAAAAAAGGAAATATTTTTTAAGCTGGTGTTGTGCTGAGGCGTGAGTGGTTAACTAGGCGTGTGATTTGTGCAGTGGTAGTTGCCACTGTTTGATGTGGTGGTTGTGTGGATGCCACTGTTTGATGTGTGGTGGTGTATGGCTGTCGCTGTTTGATGTGTCGTGGTGGTTGTATGGCTGTCACTGTTTGAAGTATGGTGGTTGTATGGCTGCCACTGTTTGATGTGTGGTGGTTGTATGGCTGCCACTGTTTGAATTATGGTGGTTGTATGGCTGCCACTGTTTGATGTGTGGTGGTTGTATGGCTGCCACTGTTTGATGTGTGGTGGTTGTATGGCTGTCACTGTTTGATGTGTGGTGGTTGTATGGCTGTCACTGTTTGATGTGTGGTGGTGTATGGCTGTCACTGTTTGATGTGTCGTGGTGGTTGTGTGGCTGCCACTGTTTGATGTATGGTGTATGGCTATCACATTATGTGTGGTGGTTCTATGGCTATCACATGATGTGTGGTGGTTCTATGGCTGCCACTGTTTGATGTGTGGTGGTGTATGGCTGTCACTGTTTGATGTGTCGTGGTGGTTGTGTGACTGCCACTACTAGATGCACTTGTAAGAGTTTATTGCTACTATGTAATACGCTATCAAAGTAAGATGTTATCCACGAAACCAGTTTTTACCTAGTCGCTTGCGGACAATTATTCAGGTGTGACTATCACTGTTAGAACATTTTCTATCACATTTTATATGGTACAATGGAGGCGAGCGAGTTGACGAGATTCCTTCCATAATGTTGTTGTCATGGAATAAAAATGTGCTTTTTAGATTTAGACCGTAAAAAAAAAATAAAAAATAAAAACTTAAGCCTAAAATTAATTTAGAAATTTTATATTCTTAGAATAAATGCTATAAAAGTTGCAAATCCAGAGAACTTGAAAATAATTTGTTGAGTTTAAGGCTACATTTCTATTTATTTTCATCAAGCCTAAGTTATAACCGGATGTTTCACTTTCGTAAGACAAATATTGATTGGCTGTACAGTAACTTAGTAATCGATAACTATTTGTTTACAAAACTTTGCAGATCAAGTTTTTAAATTACAATGCAAATTTAAAACCCCATGACCTAGTTTTCTATTTTTAGCTTACAATGTGTACAATAAAATCTATGGCAGCCTATCCAATAGCAGGATGCCATGTTTATGTCGCCATTACACGTGAAAACCAAATTGTTTTTGCTTTTTTTTTAATTTTTATTTAGTTACCGAAAATATTATAAACATCAAATACATCCAATCTTTAGTAAAGTCCGAAAAAAACCAGACAGGCAGGATTTTATAACCATATTAATTGTAAATACGCTGTGCATGATTTTTTAATGAATTTATACACCTCTCAAATACCTTTGAGACTTTTCTCGCTGGTGTCCATTCAAAACAAACATTGTGTGGCGTCTTAAAAAAACTGGGGGACCATGACTTAACATCTACCAGCGGGCACGCGTCCCGTAAATCCTTGCTGGACCACTTATAATTATTAGTTATATAGATCTAGTTATTTCTAGCGCTGTGTAGTTTATTGAAGCGATAGCCGACAAAGTATAGAAACCTAGTGTGAACTTAACCGTGATAAAATAGATCCGCCACATAGATCTCTCCTTAGTGCATACATTGATTTATATTAGGAACATTAAGGTTATGAGAGTTAACACATATTTCATGAGAAAATATAGTTCTAGTAATTTGTTGGGGAAATGTAAACATTGATAGTGTTGGTGTATTGGTCAGTGTTGGCCTACTAGACGGCAATAGGTTGCCACGTGTATAGCCACGGTCAATAATGTTGGTTTTTTTTTTTTACCGAGATTTGTGATGTTTTGATGTTTTTTAAACAGAAGGGTTGGAACCGCTTCTACGAGCGTGTGTTGTATTTGCTCGAGGATCCCCTTTGAAGTGGGTTAAGTCTTGGGTAAACTCTCTGGAAGTGGACGCGTGTTACCTAATTAAGTTTCCTGTTTGCGGCCGGATGTTGCCATTTTACCTGACCCTCCCGTCAAGTACACGAAAGCAACTTTTTTTTTCTTCTGGGATCCACTCGCTCTGGTATTTTTTATAACAAACTGAACGTTTGATTGTTTATTGGCGGAGCTAAATAAATTTGAATGATCGCGAATTTTTCGCGTATTGTTGTTTATTATTTTAAGAATATACTTAGTGCTACTAACAGCTACCAAAGTCAGTAGTTAATGACAGTGCGGTGTGATTCTGTCTCTTGTTAACTAACCCCTTGAAGTTTTGAGATAAGAAGAAAGATGCATGTTTTACACTTTCATCCGGGCCGATCATTTATCTGTTTGAAGCAAGTCGTAATGCTTGCCATTCTATTCATCACGATGAAGTTCGCCACTGTTGGCTTTTGTTCATCTATCACCAAGCCGGCTAAGACACACACCATTTCGGTTGTTTATGGTCACTAATTGTCATACCGTATATTTTTATACCCTCTATATCATCGTAAAAGTACAGTGTGTGGCCAAAAAACATATCAGATCGTTGTTTTTTCCTCTAGTTTATTTGTCGTTGGTCTAAAGGTTTGACCACGATCCGCTATTGAGTTGCCGTGTAAAACTTGCACTAGGTGACTAGCCCAGTTGTTAAAAGCTTGCTACGGGCCTGTCTTGTAGAATTTTAAACCAGCCCGTCTTTGTCCCCGTTACCTCTTTGTTGCTTCCCGGGGACCGGGGCGAAATTACCCTGTCCAAACTTGATGGACAGTGAAACGATGGCCGGTGGTGGGGCGAGGACGGGGTGTTGCAAACCAACAGGCAGTTTTGTATGGGATGAGGTCACAAACAATCATTGCTGGGTTATTTCCCTTGCGCGCACGTTTTTTTTTTTTTTTAATCTGTTGAAAATGGATAAAATAAGAGTTTCTTTTTAACCTGCTTGAAATTAATAAACTAAATATTTACTCATAGATTTTTATATAGAGCGCCTAAAATGTTTTTTTATATTAAAAATTGATGAAATATTTCTTTTTTAGAGATCTATTTGAAACTGATGTTAAATTTTTGTTTTGAAATGAGTGACATATTTTTAAAAAGATATCTATCTTATTTTAATGGACTTCAAAAAATTCTGTTGGAAACATTGACATTTTTTTCCCTCGCTGAATGAATTATAGGTAAATCCCTGGTAGTTGAGATTGGCTGGTTATAAAGAAGATAGCTCCTACCCATGACTATGATAGTCTAACCCCTGTCTATATAAACCTCCAACTTATTGATCTGGATGCCAAAGCTATGTCCTGGTATTCCAGCACTCCATCAATCACGTAATGGCTGACATAACTCTCTGTGTGGAGAAATAAGCCCATTTATCTGTCGCTGCTTGCTCCTATAGAACTGATTCCATCCATTGGATGCTTCCATTTCATTATATTATGCTGTAGAAACGGGCTATGATAGTAGGGGGTGAATGGGAGACAACTCTGTGACAACACATTAGGAAAATTGGGAAGACATGATTTGTTGAATGGGTTGGTCAAATCTCAAGGGAGAGAATTTTGTGTACATGCCCAGGCAGAGCTTAGATTACTGGGAAAGCGTTGATGGACAATCTAGGGAAAGGTTAAATACATCACATAAAAAGGTCAAAAACATGTTTGTTGGATCCAGAGCTTTCATCACAAGAGGATAGGAGGGGGTGTGTGTGCATGGAGGGGGTGGGGGTTACAGGGGTGTGGGCTGTGTGAGTGCTGGAACTAATCAATGAGCAGTGGCTGATATGATTGATTTCTGACAGCTCTTTTTTTTTGTCATCCGTGTCTCCCCCCACACCCACTTAAACGATAAAGCTTTAAATCCATTTTGTTATCCGGCTTAATATATCATGTAAGAGCAACAGATTTACTTTTTTCTCCTGAGTTTTGTTATTTACAGCTGGTTACATTCAAACAGTTCAGATGATTGTGTGATAACACTTCATTGAGCGAAACTGATAAGAAAAACATAGGAAAATTTATTAGCAAGATAAGATTTTTAAACTGATGAACAACATAAGTAATTTGTTAACAGAATGTTACTGCTGTACACTCTTTCTTTTCAAAGCTAACCCATTTTTGTACATGCGTTATGTGTTTTTTATGACTTGTTTTAATTTTCCTATCCTTTTGTTTCATTCCAGAACAAATCTGATCCATTACTAGATGGGGGGCGAGGCAGAAGAGGGGCTGATAAGAAGGCCTCTATACCACCCTCTGGACCTAAAACATCATCCTCATCCAATTCTTCAGCTAGTGGTGCTTTAGGTAGGTCTTTCTTATTTGTATTTTACAATTAAAATGAAGAAGTAGAGCAACTAGTAGCTTTTAGTCTAGTTGTTACTTTAGGGTGTTTAAATAAGTGTTTGACGTATTGTCTCACCACACATGTATCACTTGTATGTCCAGCTGCTGGCCAGTCCCCCAGACATGGCGGTGTTATGCCAGACTTGGTGCCACCACAGATACCACCTCGTACATACCCATCTTTCACACCACAGCGGCCACAAGACAAGACAGCGTCAGAGGAGGTAGGTTCATATTTTATAACATGCTACTTAGTTAGGTTAGTCACACTACACACACATCTCACATTTATAGTCTTTGTTAAGCACAGGGTCTCTTATTTTGGTAAGCTCAACTGTCGTTATGGATATACAAATTTTATTTGTTAATAAATAAAGTACAATGAAATTTTAGAGTTGGGGGGGGGGGGGGGGGGCTAGTTCTTTGTATGCTGAAGTAGTGCTATCAGCCATTTATTTTTGTACTGTTTTCCCCTTATTCTTAACCAGAGAGTTAATTGTAATCTATCCTGTTATAAACTAGATGCCACTTTGGCTGTTCAGGTTAACACCACTCAACTATCTCCCTTTTCTTTTGCCACCCTTAACCACCCCCAAAACAGTACAGAAAGGCAGTGCTTCAGCCTGTAGTCTTAGTAAAGCGTGGGAAATTAATGTCTTCACTTGCTGCTGAAGGCTCCACCATTGGTTCAAATTCTTCTATGTCCAAACAGTCACGCAGAGGTTCTCAAATCAACGTCAACGTCACACCGTCGCAGACCACTGAAGGTATCGGGGAGACCCCAGAGATCAGGAAGTACAAGAAGAGATTTGGCTCCGACATCCTGTGTGCTGCATTGTGGGGTAGGTTTTTTTTTTTTTCAATACTTGTAACAGATGAAATTTATATATGTGGCATGGAAATTTAATACTACAATTTTTTTTTTTTAGGTGTGAATCTTTTAATTGGAACAGAGTCTGGTCTTGTTTTGTTGGACAGGAGTGGTCAAGGAAAAGGTAAGTTTTCCAATGTATATGGGGATTATTTCAGGGTAATCTTTGATACTGAACTTGAGTCAGGAAAAGAAAAATTGGCTGGATGTAGTGTTAATCATGTTTCAATGTCAGAGAAACAAATGAACTCTACTTCATCTACCCCATTGCCTTTTTGGTTTGAAATTGTTATATCAGATAGTTCTAATATGCTTTTTTTAAAGATTAGTTTAATACATAAAAATGTATGTTGCATTAAAATTTGCTTGTAAAAATCCTTTGTAACTGAACTAGAAGATAATATTTACCCGTAAACAATTGTCACTATTGTGTCTTCATCGTTCCATGTATCTTTTTATTCCCCAGTGTACACCTTGATATCCAGGAGAAGGTTCCAGCAAATGGAAGTGCTAGAAGGTCAAAATATTTTAGTCACCATCTCAGGCAAGAAGAACAAAATCAGGGTCTACTATCTGTCCTGGTTGAAGTCTAAAATACTCAAGAATGACACAGTAAGTCATGTACATAATGCTACAGGTTTTTGGTACGTTTATGTTACCATAATTTAATGGGGTACTATCTGCCTGGTTTATGTCTACTATACTCAAGAATGACACAGTAAGTCATATACATAATGTTACAGGTTTTTGGTACTGTGTGTTAATGTTACTGTATTGTAATGGGGTAGTAACTCTCCTGGTTGAAGTATAAAATACTCAAGAATGACACAGTAAGTCATATACATAATGCAACAGATTTTTGGTACTGAATGCCAATGTTACTGTTATAAAATGGGGTATTATCTGTCCTGGTTGAAGCATAATGTACTCAAGAATGACACAATAAGTCTTATAATGCAACAGGTTTTTGATACTGAATGTTAATGTTACTGTAATGTAATGGGGTACTATCTATCCTGGTTGTATAATCACTTGAAAGTAACAAAGTTATTTGTTAATTTTAATTACTTTATTAAATATTGACGAAGAATTTTCTTGTACTAATTCTATTGTTTATTTCAGAGTGATAAGAAGAATGGCTGGGTGAATGTTGGGGAACTGGAGGGCTGTGTTCGTTTTAAAATAGGTGAGTCACTAGTTCTTCAGCTTCATCTTGGTTGTATTAAGTGAAGCTTTACAGTCTAAATGGGTGAAGTATTTTGGTGTTACCCTAATCACATGTCCAATGTGTGTGTTTCAGTGAAATACGAAAGAATCAAGTTCCTTGTGATAGCTTTACATGAGAGCATAGAGATCTATGCATGGGCCCCTAAGCCGTACCACAAGTTCATGGCTTTCAAAGTAAGTTGACATGGTGTTTTTTTGTCTAAAGCATAAGGATTAAACTAAGTCACTACAAGTAGCTAAAGAATCAGTTATGGAGTAAACTTATGGCTTTTTTAAAAAATGTAATTTAATTTAAAAAAAAAATAATTATTTTCAGACTTTCTCAGAGCTGAAGCCCAGACCCCTTGTAGTTGACCTGACTGTGGAAGAGGGTCAGAGGTTAAAGGTTATCTATGGCTCTAACATTGGGTTTCATGCCATAGATCTGGACAGATCCTCAACAATAGATCTCTACATTCCATCACATGTAAGTCTTGACCTTTGACCCGTCTAGTTTAATAGCTGTAAATAATTTTTGTGTGACTTCAATGCTTCGTCAAATTATTAGATCACAAGTTTTTACCCATCTATTTTATTAGCTGCAAACCATTTTTATTTCATCAATGTATGTCATATCTTCATTGTCATTCAGTGTGTTATTGTTTTTCTTTGCTAGTTCAATGCTCACAGTACAGACTTATCGACACCATAGTCTCTGTATAGTCACATTACAAACCTCTGCCATAGTCTGTGTGTATGGTCACATTACAAACCTCTGCCATAGTCTGTGTATGGTCACATTACAAACCTCTGCCATAGTCTGTGTGTATGGTCACATTACAAACCTCTGCCATAGTCTGGTGTATGGTCACATTACAAACCTCTGCCATAGTCTGTGTGTATGGTCACATTACAAACCTCCACCATAGTCTGGTGTATGGTCACATTACAAACCTCTGCCATAGTCTGGTGTATGGTCACATTACAAACCTCCACCATAGTCTATGTATGGTCACATTACAAACCTCTGCCATATTCTCTGTGTATGGTCACATTACAAACCTCTGCCATAGTCTATGTATGGTCACATTACAAACCTCTGCTATAGTCTCTGTGTATGATTACAAACCTCTGCCATAGTCTGTGTATGGTCACATTACAAACCTCTGCTATAGTCTCTGTGTATGATTACAAACCTCTGCCATAGTCTGTGTATGGTTACAATCCTCTGCCATAGTCTGTGTATGATTACAATCCTCTGCCATAGTCTGTGTATGGTTACAATCCTCTGCCATAGTCTGTGTATGATTACAATCCTCTGCCATAGTCTGTGTATGGTCACATTACAAACCTCTGCCATAGTCTATGTATGGTCACATTACAAACCTCTGCCATAGTCTCTGTGTATGGTCACATTACAAACCTCTGCCATAGTCTGTGTATGATTACAATCCTCTGCCATAGTCTGTGTATGGTCACATTACAAACCTCTGCCATAGTCTATGTATGGTCACATTACAAACCTCTGCCATAGTCTATGTATGGTCACATTACAAACCTCTGCTATAGTCTCTGTGTATGGTCACATTACAAACCTCTGTTATAGTCTCTATGTATGGTCACATACCAAACCTTTGCTATAGTCTCTGTCTAGTTAGTCACTTAAACTTCCGTCATAGTATCTGTGTGCTCTTATTTTAAGCTTTGAAAAAACTATTAAACCTACCTGTATTGATGCCCATAGATCATCCATTGCCCCGTAGTTGCTAATGTAATGTCCACTTTCTCTTGTCCTATGAAAGCATTACCTGACAGTGTCTGAAGTAGGTACATTTTAAACATCCTTGTGTGTTATGGCTTCCCTCACAGCTTGTACTTGCTAGCCTGTAGCTGGATAGCCAGCCAGGCCAAACGCTCTGCTCATACTGCTCATAGTCTTCCACATAATTTTTTAATGCAATTACTGTAAACTGTTTCTTAAAAACTCAGTATGAGAAGATGCAAAAATGCCTTAATTAAAGCAAGCATAGTTACAATATCAAAGGTCATTTTATGCTTTCTTATTATTACCAAGTTTAATATTAGAAATAAAATACACACTTTTAACCCTGTAGGCACTAGAATAATGTTATTTTACGCTGCTAAATTATGTTTCAATTGTTGTTTAGATAAATTAGTGAATGCTGGGTTTTCATAACTACAATTTTAGGATACCTATTTTCAATGCTTTAACACTGCTGCTGTCTAAAATTGTTCTTCCTTACATCAAATTAAATTGTAAACTTTTAAAAAAAAACTTTGATGAAAAGTCCTTAATGCTAGCTTGAGCTAGTTAGGATGATCTTATTGTTGTTTTTACTTTGAGTTTTGATGATATTTGGTCAGTTTAAATTTAGAAAGCTTTTGTATGTTGAGCTTAACTTGCTGGCTGAAAGTTAAAGAGTTAATGTAATTGGATAGATTTGCAGAGCTTAACTTGCTGGCTGGGGCTTAAATGGGTTAACTTCCTAGTGATTGCAGGCAATAGGAAATGTGAATGCAGTGCTGAGATACAGCCTCATTTTCATCACATACATAATATCTACACCATCACATAATCAAATCCTCATCACCAGTGACTTAGTCCCTATCAGGAGATGTAGCTCACATAATCTAAAACGCCCACTTTCAAAATGGACTCATATACCCCCAAATTATCCACACAAGCTCAATTGTACTTGAAATACTTCCAGTTGGAGCCTCTACACCCATAAATATGCCACACATACCACTACCAAATGGCACCTACATACCATCAAATGTCCCCTACATGATATCCATCTAATGTCCCCTACATGATAACCATCAAGTGTCCTCTACATACCATCAGATTTGCTCTACATACCATCAGATTTGCCCCTCATACCATCTTCTTTGCCTCATCCAATCTCTAATTGATTGACCATAAATCTTGAGTTGTAGAATCCTTTTATTTGTTTATTTCTCTCTTTGCTTCTCTTGCTGGCCTCCATTTACCCACCACTTCCCTAGTATCGAGGTCAAGGTAATTCAGTAGCCAGTAACCAATCAGGTTGCATCACATTTTATGTCAATCAGGTAAGGCCGCCCCTGGGTCAGTTGCTTTTCTCTTACACAGACGTTAAAGTTTATTACTCAAGTTTTTTGTTTGTGTTTTTTTTTTCAATTTCCTAAAAGGTTATAATGCATTTATTTCAGTTTAATTAGTTTCATTCACTTTATTTTTATTCCACTGCTTTATTTTAATTTTATTTTTCGGAAGAGCTAGATTTTAATTCTTATTTTACAAAAAAAAAATTATACAAAAATATATAGCCTTGTGTAACAGAGTTACAAAAAGTTTTGAGATAGATAAGTTGAAAAAGTATTGAGATAAATAAGTTGAAAAAGAGAAAAAGCTTTTGACACCAAAGTGCCCAGTGAATGACCTCAAATTTTTGGTCTGTCTTGTGATCAATGTAGTTTTTTTTCTTGACTGAAAAACTTTTTTTAAAGATTTCTTTTCTGTTTAATTTTGCCATGAAGCACATGAATGGCTGTTTAAACTATTTTTTGTCTGAAAAAACCAGCAGTTTGTTTTTGTTCTCTTTAATTTGCAGCCTTTGTGGTTTGATTTTCTTTACAACTTTCTGCCTGGCTATGCTTTAGATGACCATTCATCTTACCTATGTAGCTTTGTTCCTTTAATCCCTTCATTCAATCATCCTTTATTTTCATCCTAGGAAGGACATAATTTTATTTTGTTTTTCTATGATAATTGTTTTGTGCAATTTTTTTTTAAACAATCACTGCATCCACCATCTTCTGTTAATACATATTGTATAAAGTTGAATGTCGAAAATATCAAATTTTTTTTACTTGTTTACATAATCCAACATTTTCAACACAATAACTTCTACGCAATATCCTCAATCTTATATACAACGTTCAACATGTTTTACATTAATAAGATTAACAAGCTGTACACACCCAAAATATACACTATACCCAGCACATTCTAGACATCTTATATCTTCTACATAGCATCCATCATCTTCTACATAGCATCCATCATCTTCTACATAGCATCCATCATCTTCTACACAGCATCCATCATCTTCTACACAGCATCCATCATCTTCTACACAGCATCCATCATCTTCTACACAGCATCCATCATCTTCTACACAGCATCCATCATCGTCTACACAACATCCAACATGTACACAACACCCAGCTAACATAAAGCAACCTCTCCTACCCAACATCTTGTATGAGGACCATCTCATGTCAGCTGTTGTACCTAATTGATTTGTCTGGTGCTTGCTCTAGCTTCCACCACTTCTCCTTGATAATTTTTTTGTTTCTTCTCACAACCACAGGGTTTATAGAGCTTCATTTTATTGTTTTCAAATTTAGTTAACACTATGCTACACCAGTTTTATTTTATTTGTAGCTAGGCATAACATTGATGTCAATCTTTGATGGAAAATACTAAAAATTTTGTAGTAATATTTTTTTATTCACTACTAAACTAATAACTTACAAATTTCTATAAAAAAATTTAAACCACAGTTACATTCTTATTGCTTTAAGAGTATCTTTATATATTGTTTAAAAATGCTACAGCAAAGTGAATCAAGTTTCCTCCCTTGATTTGTTGTTGACATTGTGAAATTAACTGGTGTTTTTTTTATTACAGACCAATGGGCCAATAGTCCCCCACACAATAGTTATATTACCAGACACCAATGGTAGACAGCTGCTACTATGTTATGACAGTAAGTCACTTCATGCTTTTCTTTTTTATTGTTATGTTAGTGTGGTATATATTTTTAGGATAGTATGATGATATTGTATTAGTGTGAGATGGTTAAAGTTAATGTGGACTGTTTTGACTGTTTTCAGATGAAGGTATCTATGTGGACACATCTGGTAATGTGACCAAGAATGTAGTCCTACAGTGGGGTGAGCTGCCTACATCAGTTGGTGAGTACCTTGTCTTCTCTCTTGTTAGCTCCATCCTCTATAGAGTCAGGGCAGAGTTTCTAGCTTCTGAACACCCTACTAACATTTGGGTCTAGGTTATTTCCCCTCCATTCTAGTTTATTATATCTATCTATACCCATCACTCTATTCCTATTAATCTCCCTCTATCCCTAACTATCCAATAAGGGCTGGGTGGAAGTGTACTGTCCTCTCCTAACATTTACAAAGTACCTTTTGTACACCCTAATAACATTCAGGTTTAGGACCCTTTGAGCTAATTACCCCCACCCCTTTTTTTTAAGAATACTTATATATCTATTGCCATGTCAAGCTCCTTAATTTTAATCCTATCCCTATATCAAACATATCCCTAGCTAGTCTATACCTAAATTGTGTGTACTGTTCTGCTCTCCTAACATTCACAATATACTTTTTACTTTATATTTTAAACCTTGTGTGACCTCTCTATAGCTGATCAGTGTAAAACAACTGTTTATTTTATATTTTAAATCTTGTGTGGCCTCTCTATAGCTGATCAGTGTAAAACAACTGTTTATTTTATATTTTAAATCTTGTGTGACCTCTCTACAGCTGATCAGTGTAAAACAACTGTTTATTTTATATTTTAAATCTTGTGTGGCCTCTCTATAGCTGATCAGTGTAAAACAACTGTTTATTTTATATTTTAAATCTTGTGTGGCCTCTCTATAGCTGATCAGTGTAAAACAACTGTTTATTTTATATTTTACATCTTGTGTGACCTCTGTATAGCTGATCAGTGTAAAACAACTGTTTATTTTATATTTTAAATCTTGTGTGACCTCTGTATAGCTGATCAGTGTAAAACAACTGTTTATTTTATATTTTAAATCTTGTGTGACCTCTGTATAGCTGATCAGTGTAAAACAACTGTTTATTTTATATTTTAAATCTTGTGTGACCTCTGTATAGCTGATCAGTGTAAAACAACTGTTTATTTTATTTTTTAAATCTTGTGTGACCTCTCTATAGCTGATCAGTGTAAAACAACTGTTTATTTTATATTTTAAATCTTGTGTGACCTCTCTATAGCTGATCAGTGTAAAACAACTGTTTATTTTATATTTTAAATCTTGTGTGACCTCTGTATAGCTGATCAGTGTAAAACAACTAAATCACTAGACTAAAACCTGTGCTTGCTTCTTCCAGCTTACATCAGTACTGGTCAGATCATGGGCTGGGGAAACAAGGCAATAGAAATCAGATCTGCAGAGACAGGACACCTGGACGGGGTCTTCATGCACAAGAAATCTCAGAAACTCAAGTTTCTCTGTGAGAGGAATGATAAGGTGGGTAGACACTCCTAGGCTGTGGTTTGAGTTTGTGTCTTCTCACTCTTTACTAACATTGCTGACATAAAATAGAATTCATTTAGTGAACTAAGGGAGACAACACTCAAAAACTTTTGTTTGAAATTATTTTTAAAAAATACAATTATTAAATGAAGAATTGTTGCAGCTCAATGAAAATTTGAAAGTGATTCAAGTGTGTTGTCCTTGTTTGCCTCAGAAGGCCCCTGTAACATTTATAATATAAAAATAACTACAACAACTCTACAACAGTCTGATTTTAATTCTAATATATTTTATATCTAATTAATTCAGGATTTTTAACATGTCTTTGCTATTGTTTACATTAAAACAAGCTAAAAATCTGTCCAAAATTATGTAGAAAAAAATAAAAAGGAACTAAAAACTGACTTCCTCCTTTTGCATTCTTGTACCACTTTTAGTAAGCCGAAATAACCTATATGGAATTTTCGCAAAATAATATGCAATAGTAGCCAATAAGCAAAATAGTTGTCTTAATGAACATGAAAAAAATACCAAAAAAAAATTAAATCTACGGAAGTGTATTTGAAGAAAAAATTGAAAAGAAATTAAATTCCAGGAAGTGTATTTAAATTCAAATAAGAGTTGCATTTGTTGTGCTCTATACTCAGCTGTATAGCACAATGTCCAGGCACCTATATTCCCTAGTACATCAGCTAATCTTCAATATTGGTTTTATTCCCCACACCTGAAGACACTCAAGTTTAAAACTAGTTTTTAAGTGATGAATTTTATTTTACATCCGCAGGTGTTTTTCTCATCTGTCCGTTCTGGCTCGTCTTGTCAAATTTATTTCATGACACTCAGTCGACCTGGCCTGGCCAACTGGTGAACCTGGAGTACCTGACAGGGCCAGGCTTTAGGCATCTGGTGGCACCACTCACAACAGTCCACGCAGTCGCAGAATTCAACCTTGGTAAAGATAGAGTAATTTATTCACTGGATGCTATAATGTGAGGAGTAGGAAGGAGGAAAACCAGACAGTTTATTGTATGGACAAATTTTGTAAAAGAAAGGTTTTTCTGTTTGATGATTTTTGTCCCCCCCCCCCCTCCTCACTGTTGTGTTACCATGGTAACTGCCACATATGGGTCAGGATTTAAAATCTTAGTTAAAAGTCTGGATTGAGTTTGGATGTACACGAACTTATTTTTTAATGCTTGAATTTAATCATGGTTTCATTGTCACATTTTAAAAACAAAAAAACTTTATTTATAGGTTTGTCAGGGTAAGCTAGAACTAAAAACAAATTTTTCCAGGAATTGTATACTTCAATAGTATATTTGTTTTATTTTATGAAGAGGATAAAAAATATTCCACATCCTTATTTAGATGTCAAAAAGAACATGCTCACTTAAAGGGGACCATGCTAATTTAAAAATAAAAAAACTGTAGTTTTTTGTATCATCTGAAGTCATCAGTGGTGTAGGCAGAGGGAGTTGTTCATGGACCCTTCAAATGAAGGTTGTCTCATACTCAATTACATAGTTACAACTACTAAAGACTACATTTGAGTTGCTTGATGCTAACAATTTCAAAATTTTAATGTCATGTACACAATTTCCTAAAGTCATTATGGAATGTGTATAAATATATGTATGTAGACATCTATACATAATTTTCTATATGTATACACACACTCATTTGAAATCCCTTCTCTTCCCCTCCCCCCTGGACAAACATCTCCCTGCCCACACCATTGAAATCATTTATTGCAAGTGACCTAAAATTTTAAAATAAAGATCACTCATTTCAAGTGTGCTTAATGGAATACTCAAATCTAATTTCTTCAGTGTTAAATTAATGCCATATATTTGTATTTTTTTAATCATGCTTTGGTAGAGAAAAAATTAGAGCACCATAAAATATGCAACATGTGCTGAAGTGTGAGGGTGTAATTCTGGCATTAAATTTGTGTTGTTGTTTGAGAGGATTGTGGCATTAAGGACTGGCGCTAGCCAGCCAGATCTTGCAGTGTACAGTTTCTTTATTTATTGGATGGGTGAAACAGATGGTTTTTGTTATAGTTCATCATTGCTGCAATATTTTATTTATAACTTGTGCTTTCATAGTGTCAAATCTATGCTCATAATTGGCCAGGAAAATTTGTACTATCAAAGGCAAAAATTTAGAGTGATAATTTTTTTTTTTTTTTTTGTAAATTAAAGTAACCAACTATCTTTAAAAATTTTGACTTATTAAATGCTGCTCAAGTGTTTTGTGGATACTAAGTAGATCCACAACCTTTTGGATAGGGTGGATTTGGTTGGCCATGCTGTAATATGTGAATTAAAGATCTACATGGATTTAAAGATTTAAATGGAAAAAATATTTTCAATCTCTTTAGTTGGCTGTTAAAAGTAACTCCTTAGGTAACAGAATGGAATTATAGGGTAGCTTTTCATCTGCTTTAATTAAATATCATTATTTTAATGTTCAGTTGTGTTAATTTGGAATCAAAAAGTGTATAAAATTTCCTTCTTGTAAAATAAGTTTGAGTGTGTACACGACCTCAAGTGTGTATACAGTTCTGTGTATATATCCCTGGCTGTGTACAGCTCTAGCTAAAATGTGCACGCATGTACTCAATTCTGTACATATTTCTGGCTGTGTATGCCTGTACATGATTCTAAGTAATGTACACTTACATGGCCCTGGCTGTGTACATTACCATCCTGTTTTTCTGGCCACCTTAACTAGTTGAACGCTGTGTCTTTACTGTAATACTCCATCAACTCACCTGGCTTGTATGAAGGCAGTGCTCCACTCTAGAACTCTTTACCTAAGATACACGCGAACTTTGAACCCACCTTGTGTTGCATTCATTTCTCTTATAGTATTAAACAAGCTGTCAGAAGTCTATTGTTCTGATGAGGCTGATACCACTTTTAGTTAGCCTAACCATGACAAAGATTTTCTTATTTGTTTCTCTAAGTCTGATGCTAGTTTTTACAAATTCCTCCTTTTTAATATATCCATCTAGTCCAACAAAGTTGCTGTGAATTTGTATCATAACTTTCCTATTGTTGGATATGACTCAGCTCTGTATTTAAAGGTTCTGTAGCTTATCTTGTTGAATCAGCTGGTTAATTAAGACTTACCATCATTGCTGGTGGTTTTAGAAAATTTTCTTTCTTCAAGCTGGGGGTTAGTACTTCACTCCAGTATTATTTCAATACGTTATGCATTTTTAATATCTAGACCTTTCACTTTCATGCTATGTTCTGCTCCTAGTCGAAATTATCATGTAAATAATGGTTTGTAAAAAATGTAATTCATGCTTTTTCTTCTCTTTAAAATGTACAGAGTTTGTGTACTTTTTATTCTTTGAGGTATGATAGGATTGTCTTTTTAATGTGTCTGAGTAATGTCAGACATAGGACAATGTGTGTTTTGTGTCAGACCTGGTTCAGGTGTGTTTTGTCAGACCTGGTTCAGGTGTGCTGTGTGTTATACCTGGTTCAGGTGTGGTGTGTTATACTTGGTTCAGGTGTGTTGCGTGTCAGACCTGGCTCATGTGTGCTGTGGTGTTTGTTAAACCAGACTCTGATGTGCTGAGGTGTCACAGGCCTGCCAACTGATGATGTGTGCATGTGTTTACCAGATTTCTTTGTGCCAACTACTGCCAACACCATCTCATTGCTAACTCCCAAATGTTTTGTCCCCTATACAACCAACCATCAGCTGGCTAGGTAGTCATGTTTAGATAGTATCTACTTTTACTCTTAAAACACATTGATTTTTTTCATGTGCCTTTGCTTTGCATGCTGACCGGTTCCCATGTTGTAGATTCAAGATCTGCTAAACAGAGGCAAAAAAAAATATCATCCAGTAGATTTGTAACCAACCATATTCACATCAGTTACTTCCCTTGAATTGCAATTTATTTATTGATGTGTACATGCATAGAGATGTGTAATTTAGGGTTGTTGATTTGCTGATTGTTGCAACTTGTACATGCATTTGCTAATTTTTTTAAAGTAAAGATCATTTGTAGAAAAATATTATTTTAACACAATGTGTTTTTTTATAATGTAAACTATAGAGATGAATAATCTTATGATGTTTTATATATTTTTTTTAGGAAACAAATTTGTTTTATATTGTGTTCATTGCAAATTTAGTCACAAGTGTTGTTGTGAAGCTCTCTCTACTTCCTGAGTAAGAAGCTTATACCAGATCGAAAATGTTAAGGTTATATTTACCAAAAGATATACTTGAGTTATGGCTCATTGTTTTTTAGAAAGATTACAGTTGCCCCTTCAAAGTTCAAATATATTCTAATAATTTATGTAACTATATCATTTATTTTGCTTTGTGAACTAATTTTAACTTAGTAAATCCATCAGTTTAGAGATCACAGAGTAGATCATGTCTTTGAAATGATTTTTTTTATAGAAGATTGTCATATTTTTATTATGTGTGATTACAAGGAATGTAACAATATGCTAATATTATGTGTACAAAGATCATGTCCTCATATTTTGTGTGTTTTATGTAGCAAACACTTCTTGACATTTAAGCATACATTTTGAAAGAATAAAAAAATATATCAAATACAATTTTCTGTTTGGTTTTTGTATTAGAAATTTTTTTTTTCAAACTTACATATCAATACCATATGCCTTCCTTCATCTGTATGAACAGAAATAATTCATAACAAGTATCTTTTTTTCTTAGTATTTTTGGGTCAACACGTGTGCCAGAGGACCTGTTTACACTGGATGTGCTCGAATAGCCTTTTATTTTAATTGAACAAGCTACAAGGCAGCAGTTGTTTGAATTTGAAATTTTCTCTCGCAAATAGGTTGATGGTTGTTGTCCCCATCTAATGTACCTCATCGGGACCTGAGTCAGCAATCAAATCCTCTCCCACCTGACAAAGTTCCCATGATCTAAATTACTAGAAAAGTTTGAAGTTCATTTAAATTTAACAGTTTGAAATTTATTTTTTGTTTTAAGGTAATCATATAGATCTAGAAAGCAAAATAAAACAGAAAAAAGGATTACAAATTTTAATAGAGAATATGAATATAATTATTGTCAACTGTATTTGTTGAATGCAAGCTCTAACGGAGCTGGTGACTAGTCAATCCAAACACAGCAGCTAAAGTATCACACACAGAAATCTTTCTCTCATACAAGAAATTAAATGCATTATTAGGTGGAAATCTGCTTCATTTAAAGATGCAATCTTTTGAAAATGGGATTGTTTTTTTTAATAAAAAGGGGGCATAACTAACATAACATAATTATGATCAAAAACATTTTTAGTGAGAAATTATAGAAAGAAAAAAAAATGTAGTCACCTATGTGAACAAATCAGTATCTGCCCATGGAAGATTAAATAATCAAGTTTGGACTGGAAAAATAAAGTTGGAATGCTCAGTTGTCCATTTAGCAATTTTTTAAATATTTTTTTTTTGGAAAATTCAAGACAAATGCCATTAAGAAAATGAACAAATTGAAAATAAATTATATGATACAGTTTTGAAACATGATCATGATCTCAGTGTCGAATACCAACCACTTGCATACCATTTCATAAGTTTTATTTTTTTCAGCCATTTAAGAGACAAGTCTTCAATAGAAAAAAAAATCACATGCTTGTTCCTCTTTCTAAAAATTAAATTGCCGTTTGGGATAATCTGGTTTAGAATGCAAATAGATGACTTAAGAAATTAAAGCTTAACTGGATTAGTAGTAAAATTAGCTTGTTAGTCATGTGACCCCTGTCTTCAAACAGCTGGAACTAAGGGATAGACTGGCAGCCTTCAGTTGCATAAACCCATTCTTACCTATGAAAAAGCAGCGTGTCTTCCCCCCCCCCCCCCCCATTGACACACATCCTATATTGTCTTAATGGTAAAGGGGACAGGGTGGGGAACGGGGGGGGGGGTCAAAAATAATTTTAAAAAATGACATTTAAAGAAGCTACCCAAGGAAAACTCAATTTTTAAACTTTAACTCTAGTTCAAAAGCAATTTCAACACAACATTCAGTCTTTAATCTTAGCATCCAGCCTTAAGATGTATGTATAATTGTCACTGAAAAAAGAGTTTAAGTAACAAATGTCAACGTGAAAGCAATAGCAATGGTTAACAAAAGGTTAAATTGTCTATACACACTCTTCTCTGTACAGCTGCTGTATTTACAAAACAATTTGAAGAATGTGTATGAAATGTACAGCTCATTTGATCTCACACTCTATCAACTGAGGCAACTCACATAAAACAAATGGCACAGCTCAAATCTTTTAAACTATTAGCTGAGGTCACACATGTGAAGAAATGGTACAGCTCAATTGATCTCACATACTATAAACTGAAGATACTCACATAAAGAAATGGCACAGCTCAATTGATCTCACAAATTATAGCATCTCATATACTTCTGACATGAAAAAATGGCACACAATTATCCCCCAATCAACTGAAATCCTCCTCAAACAACTTGAAGAAATTTCTGCAACGACACATCTAAAACACTTCTGCTGAAGCAATACAAGATAAATGAACATTCAATGAAGAAATGGTACCAATATATCACACCTCATCAGTTCACACTGCTAACACCAACATCACTATTGCATAAAAGGATCAAATATCAAGAGCCAGCAAGGTGAAAATTTGATATTTTGCTTCATCAACTATACACAACAAAGCAAAACAGTTACTGAACTATACCAAAGCTTTAAAATGGTACAGTTTTTTAAACCACAACAGCAGATATATTCAATCCTATCTTTCATTTCTATATAAAATATATATTAAACACTAATGTTGGATAAATCAATTAAGGTACTAACACTAATTTATTGGGTTGATAAAAAAAAATGTTGCCATGCTTATTAAATAGATTCAATTAAATTTCATTAAATATAAAGTTAATAAAATATTGTCAGAAGTTTTACCTATACTACACCTCTCTAGTGATTCTTAAGCAATACTGGCCTTGCTGTCTCTGTGATAAACTAATGAATCAAACCCTAAACCTAAACATCTATACCAATATCCAGATATAACCCAGACCAAACAAATCAATATGATTCAGTTCTCAAATGGAGGTTATGGAAGGTCGACTGCTAACCCATCACGTAATGAAGCACACACATACATATAAAAAGTTACAGATATAGAAATAGAAGATAATAATCAAGACCTGACATATTTTCTCCTGAGATTGGTTGCAGCTGAAACCAAAAAACTGAATTTTCTGTTCAACAAATCAGCTCGAACAAAATTAAATTTTTCAATGTATCCCAAAATCTATCTACAAAATATCAACTTCAAGCGGAAACATAAGAATAAAAAAAACCTTTTAAATGTTGAAATCAATATGATTCAGTTATAAAAAGGAGGTTATCTAAGTTCACCAGCTAACCCATTAAATAATGAATTACGCAGCTATGTAATTAAAGTTAATATTAAATTTTTCATGAAACTATTAACATGAGTTCAACATTCCAAAATGCAATAGATTGAACATATATTCATTTTCTATTATAGATATGAAAGCAGACAGTCAACAAATATAACTCATAACTACAGTATACTGCACATTACATTCAATATGTAATAAGAGATTAGAAAGCAGTTAGAAAAGTATCATTCGTAAATTTCATTCCCACATAAATTCCACTCCCACGTAAACTCCATTTCAACGTAAACTCCATTCCCAGGTAAACTACATTCCCATGTAAACATTATTCACATGCACGCTGAAAGCTCATAGGTTGCTTAGATTATTTCAAATTCTTCATCGTCACATCCGCCTGTTGACTGCTTACTGTCATAGACAGCAAAATCTGAAAACAGCAGGACAGCAATTTTATTAAAAACAGTAGGCCTACAAATTTTAAATCTGAATTAAAGTTACAGGATTTATTTAGACATTTTTTACATGCATCTACACAGCCATGAAAATTAATTGTGATGACTGAAATATTTGATCAAAGAAGGTTGTGTTAAGGGATTCGTGGTGGATTCTTCCAGCTCACTCATGTGCCCAAGTCAATTTGTTTCTCCCCTTACTTGAAAACCTTTTCTGTAAAGCTTAGTTCCCTTTTAGGGGGCAAGTGAAGTAGTTCACCAGTTTCTATAACCTTGGCATGTGAAGGGATAGTGCACAATGCCTAACAGCCTTTACTTTCCCTAACATGAGTTAGGTACTCATCACAGCTGAGTGGACTTGGGGACTTAAACCCAGATTCAAACTCGAGACTTTCGGGTTGGCAGTCTAGTGCTCTACCACTTAACCATGCAGTCCCAAACCTTTCCTGCAACAACTATTAAACAGAAGAAAAAAAGGCGTGACTTAATGAGGACAGTGACAGAGAACCTGAAAGTGAGTTCCCTCTCTTGGAATCTGTGTACACAGTTGTGGCGGCGGACTCTGTGTAAGGCCACGGCGCGTCTTTACGCACTTCAAACATGGACTGGCAGGATTTGTCTGGCAGTGTGAACGTCTCACACAGCTCTTCAAACTCTTTCTCTGTGGCGCAGTAGAAACCCTGAGGGGGGGGGGGGGGGGGGGGAGACAAACAGAATTTTGACTTAAGTATTATGTGCTATTAAAACAAATTTGATGGAGAGATTTATTTTTTAAACAAAAACTTAGGTGGTAATGAAATTGCCAGGTACAAAATTAGCAGATACAATAACCTTGCCAACCACACACCATCCAACCAACCACAGATACTCACTATGCAGCCAACCCTAGACTAACCATTCAGCAATCCCTGCTACCAGCCAACCCCAGATACCCACCATTCAGCCAACCCTAGAAACCCACCATTTAGCCAACCCCAGACACCCACCATTCAGCCAACCCCAGCCAACCCAGCCACCCACCAGCCAACCCCAGACCCCCACCATTCAGCCAACCCCAGCCAACCACCAGCCAACCCCAGACCCCCACCATTCAGCCAACCCCAGCCAACCCAGCCACCCACCAGCCAACCCCAGACCCCCACCATTCAGCCACCCACCAGCCAACCCCAGACCCCCACCATTCAGCCACCCACCAGCCAACCCCAGACCCCCACCATTCAGCCAACCCCAGACCCCCACCATTCAGCCACCCACCAGCCAACCCCAGACCCCCACCATTCAGCCAACCCCAGCCAACCCCAGACCCCCACCATTCAGCCAACCCCAGCCAACCCCAGACCCCCACCATTCAGCCAACCCCAGCCAACCCCAGACACCCACCATTCAGCCAACCCCAGACACCCACCATTCAGCCAACCCCAGCCAACCCCAGACCCCCACCATTCAGCCAACCCCAGACACCCACCATTCAGCCAACCCCAGCCAACCCCAGACACCCACCATTCAGCCAACCCCAGACACCCACCATTCAGCCAACCCCAGCCAACCCCAGACACCCACCAGCCAACCCCAGACACCCACCATTCAGCCAACCCCAGACACCCACCATTCAGCCAACCCCAGCCAACCCAGCCACCCACCAGCCAACCCCAGACCCCCACCATTCAGCCACCCACCAGCCAACCCCAGACCCCCACCATTTAGCCACCCACCAGCCAACCCCAGACCCCCACCATTCAGCCAGCCACCAGCCAACCCCAGACCCCCACCATTCAGCCACCCACCAGCCAACCCCAGACCCCCACCATTCAGCCAACCCCAGCCAACCCCAGACCCCCACCATTCAGCCAACCCCAGACCCCCACCATTCAGCCAACCCCAGCCAACCCCAGACACCCACCATTCAGCCAACCCCAGCCAACCCCAGACACCCACCATTCAGCCAACCCCAGACACCCACCATTCAGCCAACCCCAGCCAACCCCAGACACCCACCATTCAGCCAACCCCAGACACCCACCATTCAGCCAACCCCAGCCAACCCCAGACACCCACCAGCCAACCCCAGACACCCACCATTCAGCCAACCCCAGACACCCACCATTCAGCCAACCCCAGACACCCACCATTCAGCCAACCCCAGCCAACCCCAGACACCCACCAGCCAACCCCAGACACCCACCATTCAGCCAACCCCAGACACCCACCATTCAGCCAACCCCAGACACCCACCATTTAGCCAACCCCAGACACCCACCATTCAGCCAACCCCAGACACCCACCATTTAGCCAACCCCAGACACCCACCATTCAGCCAACCCTAAAAACCCACCATTTAGCCAACCCAAGACACCCACCATTTAGCCAACCGCAGACACCCACCATTTAGCCAACCCCAGACACCCACCATTTAGCCAACCCCAGACACCCACCATTTAGCCAACCCCAGACACCCACCATTCAAACAACCCCACACACTCACCATTCAAACAACCCCACACACTCACCATTCAGCCAACCCCACACACTCACCATTCAGCCAACCCAGACACCCACCATTCAGCCAACCCCTACAGCAGCCAACCCCAGCCACCAACCAGCCAACCCAGCCACCCACCAATGCAATAGATGGGTCCAGCTTAGAGAAGCTCATCCTAGAGGGTGGTGTGGTGCAGTGGTAGCTGACATCACTTGTCCTCCTGTCATCCAGGTCCACAACATTCTGTGTTGTGTGAGGGTCTAAGTAGATCAGCTCTTTATCTGCAAGCAAACAGGGTACAAACATTTACTTCCTTATACCGCGTTTACACTTGTGACATGTATACTATACATGGTTAGAAAAAAAACTTCCCAATAAGTGAGTAGGCTCCCCTATTAACTTAGGCCCTATAGCGAAGTTTTTTTCTAGAAATGTATAGTATACATGTCGCAAGTCGCAAGTGTAAACGCGATATTATACTGCTTTGTTGGTTAATTATATTTTGTTGGCATATATAGTCAACAAATTTGTTGGGGCCCAAGATATATTGTGGGATGTCTGTGTAAAGATTATTTTTCAGTTAGGTTGACAGTTATGAGTCAGTAGAACATGCCCTCTCCCCCCCCCCCCCCCCGCGCTCTAATGGGTAACTAACACCAGTCTGAGAAATTTATATTCAAATGGGGTTTAAATTAGCCACATTGCTTCTAATAATTTCTGATATATTAAATATAATAATGCTGTAACATTTACATCAGGGGTCTCCAAACTACGGCCCGCGGGCCGGATGCGGCCTGCGATGTCCTCTAATCCGGCCCTTGGAAATCTTTTTGTCCACGGAAAATAAACGTTTGTTGGTGATGGCTGAGGGACTTTACCCAGAAAAATCAAAGACATGCCTGGAAGAACATGGCCCCCGAACTAAAATTTGACAGTTAATGTGGCCCTCGGACTGAAAAGTTTGGAGACCCCTGATTTACATAAATAATATTTTAAATTATATTTACACTCAAGTATATCAGAAGTTTGACAGTGTGGCCTAAGCGCTAGGCTGCTAACCCGAAAGTCTCAAGTTCGAATCCGGGGCCAATTCAGTCCCTGAGTCCACCCAGCTCTGATGGGTACCTAACTCATGTTAGGAAAAGTAAAAGCGGCTGGGCTTAGTGCTGACCACAACATCCCTTCATATGTCAAGGTCAAGATACACAAGCTCTTAATTCATCAGCCCAATGGACTGCTATGTCTAGAAAAAGATTCTTTGTAACAGTAGTTCAATAAATAAGAATTCAATACACACAAAAATACACCTATCAAACACACATGCAGTATCAACTCACCAACAAAACCAATAAACCAATGAGCATGGTTGGGCTTGCCACCTATGATACCAACAGATTGCTTTAACTTGAAACATTTCTGGGGATACGAAGTTTAAACTATTCAGTATAAAAGTCTGTTGAAAAAGAAAAACTCTTTGAAATAAAGAAAGATAAAAAACCAAATCATAAAGATACAAGGTAAAAATGTTCTTACAGTTAACCAGCCAATTTACTAAAGAAAGGATTTAGTAAAGAAAAAGTAGTGCTCTTTCAAACCTGACAGTCCCTAGGGGCAAGTGAAGTAGAGTTCACTTGTTTATGTGACCTTGGCATATGAAGGGATAGTGTTGTCAGCACTATACCCAGCCACCCTTACTTTCAATAAAGTGAGTCAGGTACCCACCAGAGCTAAGTGGACTAGCCAACATTCTACAGCCTCGAATACGGATTCAAACACAAGACTTTTGGGTTAGCAGTCGTTTGCTCTACTGCTTGGCCATATAGTCCCCTATTTAGCAAAGAAGTCATAAATAAAAAATCAACTCAGCAGTCTTACCTTCAATGACTCAAAATAGATAGGATTGATATCAGTGAGACCCAACCGCAGGGGAATAATCAACAGTAGCGGCTTCCACGTCCAGGTATCTGTATGGGTCTGGTTTGGTAACTTCTCATTCACAAAACATGAAAACTGCTCCACTTCTAGTTCAGGCTTGTCGCTGTTTGAAATTTTCTTCTTGCATTTTGATCTATTTTTAGACTTGCATAATGTGCCTGGAACAGAAATAAAACTCTTGATAGTGGAAATATAGTTCTGGAGCCTAGCCAAGAAACCCGTTCATATCATTTTTTATCTCAGTAATAATAAATTTTAAAAATGTGTGTGCTTTTAATTTAGATTGTAAAAGATACAGTAAGAAGATGTGAGATTGTAAAATATATATTAAGAATACATGAGATTGTAAAATGTAAATTAAGAAAACATGAGATTATAAAAGATATAATAAGAAAACATGAGCTTATAAAAGATACATTAAGAAAACATAAGATTATAAAAGATATATTAAGAAAACATAAGATTATAAAAGATATATTAAGAAAACATAAGATTATAAAAGATATATTAAGAAAACATAAGATTATAAAAGATATATTAAGAAAACATAAGATTATAAAAGATATATTAAGAAAACATAAGATTATAAAAGATATAATAAGACAACACGAGGTAGACTTACGTATATCATCTAGTATAACCACATTGTCTAATGCTACGTGGATGGCTATGTTACTCCAGTCATCGTAGACAGAAATACGTCTAAAAAAACAATGCATATCACATATAATTTCATTTTTAAAAAAGCATACAAAATGAACATCACTTGCTAAATAAAATATTTAAATTAAAAAAAAAAAGACGTACTTTAAAACTTGTGCAATTGTGTTTGGCCCAAACCACTGACCTATGGCTTTACCTTCAGCTTCTCCCATTGATGCTGTGAAAAGTAGACCAAGGTTCAAAGGTCACAACCAATGGAAAAAGTAAACAGGAAGAGTCAACACAACAGGATAAGGTGTAAAACTGCTTCATGAGCACAATGTAACAGGAAATAGAAGTAATTTAAACCGTGGAAATAAAGTAATTTAAACCGTGGAAATAGAAGTAATTTAAACCGTACAAACCAATTTGATGAATGGAATAGGTTGCCATCTTTTTGTCTTCAAACATCCGGAGCAACCTCCAGTATGTTTCATCTATCATATCTTGTTTCCATCTCCAATCTATAAACAATCAATTTTTACCAAATTAACGGGCAATACTTAATTATATTGGAGGAAAAACAACACTTACACTAAAGAACAAATAAAAAGAAATAACTAAACTCGTAAATTTTTTAAATCAGAAGAGGAACATGTACCTAAGAAAGCAGATCAACAATTAATTCTTACCTCTGCCTAAATGTATCAAAGAAAGCAGATGAACAAGTAATTCTTACCTCTGCCTAAATGTCTAAGTACAAGACATTGTGCCAGCATCATCTGACCACACCGTAGCATACAACCCCAACCTTGATCAGAACTTGGACCAGTCCCTCCTGATTTAAAAATAAAAAAGTTTACAAGAATGACATGGCTGAAAACCTATTCCACTTCCACTTTGCCGAGTTATTACACAGAAATTTTTTAAATCTTATTGTAATTTAAACAGTATTCATATTTTCAACCAAGCAAAACTAAAACTTCTTTAACTATATCTCAGTTATTGATTGTATTTGCTCATCGTAACTAAATTATAAACCTATTGTTTATAAACAATGTTCCCTCTGAGGAGAAAAAGCTAGCATGCAACGTACATTTTGTAAACGCAGTGTTCTTAAAGTCTTATACAATGATAATTCTATTTTACAAAATGACTGCACTGAAGGTTCGCAACTACTGTTTGGCTGCACAAAAGGGAACATTGGGGATCAAGCAGAGAATTTTTATTAAAAGTGGTGATTTAAAATGCCTGAGGTTGATTTAAATATTTAAGCACTAATGAATGTGAAAGTAAACAAAGTACTTATAAAAGTACAAATAACATCAGCTCTTTAACAATAAATTAAGACTTGCCAATATTTTGGAAATTCCTTCTGTATGTGATCCATATTCTTGACTTGATGTCATCTTTTAGTTCTTCAAGTTCTGTAATGCATATGCTATGAATGTTAATAATTTAAAAAAACAACAATAATATAGAGATTTTCTGGAAACAAAAAACCCAGAAATCCTAGTTAGATTAAAATGATTAGGGCCTAGATGAATTTTTTTTTGCAAAACAAAATAAGATCTATACTATTGTTTCAATGTTTACTTTTTTTTATAAATAATAAAATCATGAACTTTTAATAGTGTCATTCAGTTAATTTTAATTTTTTTTTCTTTACACTGGTTACTTGTAATTGTTTTGTTGTTAGCTTAATATCATTTTAAAAGTTATTTAAGTAAAGTTGTTAAATGTAATAATTCTAAATATTTCTAAACAACTGAGGCCAGTGACTTACCATGTAGAGCACTGTAATCTCTCCCTAAGATGTAGACAGGCTCAGCTGTCCGAGGAAACTCCTCAAATTCAAAAGGACCACTTTCATAAGTGATTCCAAAATTCACTGAAAATTTCATTTTCACAGTTGAGAATGTTAGTCATTGATTTTTAAAGGAGGTTTAATAAATTATATTTTCTCTAAATAAAACATTGATTGCAGTGTTGTTCTTGTATTGTAAAAATATTATTACTCATCCATGAAGAGGAAGTTTCATCAGTAAAATGTTTTATGGAGAAGAGGTTAATATTTTTGTTAACTACAGGCCAATTGTGTCTTGAGAACAAAAGGGAAAAGATGACTGGCCTATACTGAATTATTTTGCTTACTATCTTTGAAGTGTACTTATATTTAGCCTATGCTTTAAAAGTGAAAACATAATGTATTTGATGATGCTTATGGTTTCATGGGACAGCATGGTGGAATGGTAGAGCATACGTCTTTTAACCCAAAGTCTGGTGTTGGACTCTGTATTCATGTTCGTAGAATGTCCCTGAGTCCAGTTCTGATGGGTAACTGACCCATGTCAGGAAAAGTGCTAACCACACTATCAGTTCATATGCCGAGGTCATAGAAACAGGTGAACTCTACTTCACTTGCCCCATGGACCACCCGATTCAAAAGGGAGCTTTACTTTTTTATGATATCACAGTCAATTCATAACAAAAATTTTCAGGAAAAAGTCTTATGTGCTATACCTAGCCTAACTAATATAACAAATATTAGTATCTAGGCCTATTGTATGTTATTAAACAGGCTATATCCTGATTTTATCATGTCTGTCATTAGGTCAATAGTTTAATATTATATAATCAGAAAATCATCCTCGCAGCCTTGTTGATGTAACAGCTTTAACTTTTAATTATAGGCCTACTGACAACTTACTACTAGATCTAGGTCTAAGCAACTACTAGCAAACAGTGAGATTATCAGATGGATAATCTTTAAGTAATACTACAGTGGAGTGACACTAATCCCAGTGTAATGAGTCTTGTATGTACTGTGTAGTATTAACAGTGATGTAGCCACTATGGGTAACTTTACTTCTGTAGTGTAGCACTAGTAGTAGATTGTCTCATGACGCTAGTTGACGCAACGCTCATAAACAACAACATTGGAACATTCCCGTTCTAGTTTCATGTTTGACCGTTGGGGGATCTTCAATGTCTCCAAGTCTTGCTAAATTCTGCTAAATATAATTATTACGGCAACTGAAAATTAATGTAAGATGGTCTGTGCCAGAAAAATTCATGACTTTTTGGTTTTAATTAAGAATTAGAAATGTTAGATAACCTCAAACACTTATTTGTGCTAAATGAACACTGGTCTTCTAAACAACAATGGGCTATAATAGTATCAAACAAGTGACACACACTTGGATTTGGATAATGATATATTTTTTCCATTTTTTAGAATTCTTGATTAACAATAATTATAGTAAATTATGGATAGCCTGTTTTCAGCAACCATCTTTCAGTTTTCACAAACGTTTCATATTAAAGAATTTATTTACTGAGAAGTCTATGCAATTTTATTCACAATATCTGCACACTTGAAGAAATATTGACATACATTTTTATTTTCTACGCATTTTTTCCTTGAGCGTGATGTAAAAAGCATTTGGTTCTTTGCATTGTTGTTAAAATAATGATAGGCCTATAGCTTTAAAAATAAATTGATTCTATCTATATATATAATTCTCTTCTGGGAGCCGTTAGAAAACAAGCTGCAAGCGCCTCCTTGCAGTCCCCTCTTTTTCTCTCTATCACTACCACCCCCACCACACTCCTACATTGTCTGGTGAGCTGTGGTCACGCTGTTTACATTTTACAATCATAGAGACGGGTTTGGTGACGGCTATTAGGGGCAGATAATTTAATTTGAAACGATTTTAAACTTAGAGGAGGTAACTAAGAGGAGGCTGCTTTCACGTGGGTGGGGGGAGGGGGGTTTAGTGTTTTTAAGCAAATATTTTCAGTGGCAGCATTGGTACTGTCGAATTCACAAATTATAAATTACTGAAAAGTAGAAAAAAAACAACTATATAGCGGCATATGATATGCAGCGGGTCAGCTCGTGAATTATAAAATGCTTAAAAGCATGGCAATACAACAACTACAGGAAACTATTATAAACATGATTCTTCCCTAACTAGGAATGGTATTGAATGGCATGCAAGATTTCTACAGTAACTTTGTATTCAGAAGCCATGAAACGAATAAGTTATTAGGTACATCCTTAAAGTTTATCAGGACCTAAGTTAGTTTGGGCTATAAATTATAGATCTAGATCTAGCTAGGCATAAGCCTGTGTGGTTTTTTTGTGAACTTTTTATTTTAGGCCTAAAGGCCTCAAAATAGGGCCAGAGGCCAATACTTTGTTGAAGTGAAACAACTTAAAAAATAATTTAATTTTAAATTTAGTTAAGACAGCCCACTAAAGTACTTGTAGATCTAGTTCTAGTAAAGTGTTGTTAGTGTAGTCACAAGTGTAGTGGTTCCTCATTCATTTGATCATCATCATCCATGTGATGTGTGTTGCTGTGTGTGTCCAACTTTACTTGGTGTGTCTGAGTTGAGTGAATGCCTAAGTCTGTTTACTCAATTACTAACTAGATCAAAGTCTAGATCCAGTAGGGTACAATACACTCACAACTGGCGAGCGAGTTAAATTCAGTGAACTGTACTCGAACTTTCAACTTATCACTCAGTTACGACAGTTACTTTCTTACTGACAGGGTGACTCAGTAACACTTCACTCAACTTCACTGCCAGCTTTCTTAAAATAATTCGTTCATTTGTTATATAGATCTAGATTTAATCAATAGATATATAATCTAGTAAAATCAATAAATATAGTTACAAAAGAAATATGACGTCTAAAAATTAATTAGGCCCGATAATTCAAATCAAACTAGTCAAACACTAAAATTTATTTATTTATTTACCATCAAAATCCATTTCCCTGAAGAATCAAAACATTGTTTCTACGCATGCGCAGAATAAGATTTCCGTATCCGTTGTTATCTGGCTTACAGATTTAGGAACGAGTAGAGTAAGCTAGACCTACTGCGTTCTATTTTTGTTTCATAAATAATCAATAGAATTAAAAATAAGTACGAATAATTTTACTTAAGATGTGGTAACTGTACCTCATCGTCATGGAGTAAAAAAGAGAGATTCGCTAAATTCATTTGGTTCACATTGATTTAATATTCACAAGTTTGGTTGGATGGAGGGCGCACAGTGGTGTACCCATGGAGGGAAAAGGGGGGGGGGGGGGGGAGAGGGGGAGCCTTTCCCCTGAGGGTATTTTTTAGGACTATGATACCTTTTTTTTTCGGAAAAAAATAATGAAAACAATCAACATTCTGGGACCTACATTTGGGAAATAAAAATTAATTACAAGAAGTAACACAGTCAGTGCTGAATAACTTGATTGAGAAAATGAAATACACGCGCCTATTGTGTGGTTCGCGTTTGTCTTAATTGTTCGTTAACGAAGGCGCCTCTCTTATATTCAGCGTGTGTATTAAATTGTTGATCAATGAAGGTGCTTATTTACTATTTACGACATGACTGATACATTTTACCATTTTTTATGCTGTTGGAAAAAAAACATTCATTCCAAATAGATTTTTTTTTATTTTTAAGGCCAGATTTTCGAGCCTTTTAAAAATAACATTGGATTAAGTTTGATAAACACTGAAGCAAGTTTTTGAAGTTTACTTCATTATCTAGAGGGTGTTGGTTCGATAACGGAGGATTACTGGTGTTGTTAGAAGTAGTAGTGTACAGTGGCGTAGGCAGGGGGAGGGTTAGGGGGGGTCATAAAAATTGGCACCCCTCCCTTGAGACAACCCTGGCTACGCCACTGGTAGTGTATAATTTATTTTCCACTTTTTAGTGCATTATTATATAAAAGCTTGTCATTAAAACGTTTTTTTTATGAATTAAAAAAACAACTCCAATTAATTATGCGCCTGATTAATACTAAAACACAAGTAATGAGACATATTGATGATGAGATAATTACATAATTTAATTACATATCTTTCACAACACACCATTCAAAAGACAAAGGCAAATAATCTTCACCGATATATATTGTAATACAATAATAGTTACGTTACTTGTCTCATGGACTATCGGAGAACTTATCTATGTTTTGTACCAGCATATCAAGGTATGATCACAATGGCGTCCACAGGATTTTCATCAGGGGATGTCACCCCGTAGATCTTGTCAGAAAGATTTAAATTATAGGCTGTCGTTAAAGACAAATATAACTCGCATCACGTCACACATTTAGTATTTTATGTTGTAAACTTCAAATTCATTTATTAAAATACTGAATCTACATTTAATAAAGCGGTTTAATATTTAGCAGGGGCAGGCAGTGTCTTTAGACCCCTCTTGGTGCCATAAGGTCCCATGTAACCTGCGGTCAGAGTTTCTTTCAGGCATCTCTGTGGGGGGGGGGGGGGGGGGGGGGGGCGAATCAGTCTACTCCATCCCCCCAGAAACGAAGTAAAATTTATATAGAAAATTGATACCTTTACTGTCTGTCCCCCAACCCCCCTCTAACAATTCGTTCTCGCCCCCTCCCAAGATTCCAAGTGCCCCCATCCCTCCGCCCTGGAGAAAAATGAAAGAAACGCTGCTGTCGCTGATGTTGTCATCCCGGCTACAGGACAATCCCCCCCCCCCCCGACATTTCCCCCTGGACATTCCCCCCATATTTACCCCCCGGAGCAATTACCCCCTGTCAATTACCCCCTGGGGAATTACCAACCCACCCCCCCCCCCCATCCACCAAGATAGTATCCTGATTTTAACTCCAACTCTATACCAAAATATTACCTTAATCCTAACCTTAAGACAAAAACGAAAAACCTTAGACATTTCACCTCACCTTAAAATAAACCCAAAACCAAACCCAACTCTAGACATTGATTTAAGCCTAACCCTTACCCTAACCCTAACCCTAACCCTAACCCTAAACCTAACCCTAACCCTAACCCTAACCCTAACCCTAACCCTAACCCTAACCCTAACCCTAACCCTAACCCTAACCCTAACCCTAGACCTAGACCTAGACCTAGCCCAAACTCAAACCCTAGCTTTAACCCTAGCTGAACGTTAAGCTATGACCGGGGGGTAATGTCCTACTGGGGGGGGGGGGGGGGGGGAATTGACAGGGGGGGGGGGAATTGACAGGGGGTGGGGTAATTACTCCTGGGGGAAATGTCCGGGGGTGATTGACGGAGGGGGAAATGCCATGTTCCCCTCATCCCACACTCCTTTTATTTTGGTTTTTCTTCTTGGTGTTATCCCTTAACCCTCTACCCAACTCTTCTATAGTTTTAACTGCAACTAGATCTAATATTGTCTTAACAAAAACAATTGGACTGCACCCCAACCTCCTGACGCCACTGCTGCTGACCCCCTAACTGGTTAAAATATTTCTGAGGTTGTCTCCCTTGTGTAGACCAAATGAAGACTTTTCCCGCTCGAAATGCTGGGTAGTCTGCCCTTGGATTTCTCCCCCACGGGCGTGATGGGTCGAGTTTCTTCAAAAACTGACCTCGGCGCGATCGGGGTTAGAACCCGCTTTGTTTTCACCGCTTGACTGAACTGCAGGTCTCTGGAGCTACGCGCAACGTTCCCTGTTAAAATCCGAGCGCTGGTTTGGGAGCTTAATGCCGGTACGGCGAACCCCGTTGAGCTCTCTTCATACACCAAGGCGTGGTTCTCCTTAACCAACCCAGCCCGGGAGTAGAGTTCCCGAGGGTACGATACGACACGACGATCGCTCAGAGGCCGGGAATGAGCGAAAGCGTGGACAAACTCCTGCGGTAAAGGCAAAACCTCGGATTTGGGACGAGACTTGGAGAAGACGATTTTCTCCGGGAGTCTTTCGTTGGTTGTCGGACTTGGTTGGTAGCCTTGGACAATGTCCAGCAGGCTGTTGTCTTCTTTATGCTTAGCCGTCCGGAGGTCACGTGGTCTTTTCATAGCCGTTTCCGGTTTAAGCGACGACTCGACGCCATTTTTAACCAGTCTCTCGTTGATGTTTAAAGCAGCTCGATGATTTTGTGACATGTTTTGTAAGCTGTCTTCTTCTTTACGTTTCGCGGTTCGAATGTCACGAGTTTTCTTCACTTCCGTTTCCTGTTTTTTCGAGGAATCGACGCCATTTTTAACCAGTCTTTCGTTATAATTCGAAGCAGCACGATAATTTTGGGAAATATTTTGTAAAGTATCTTCTTCTCTATATTTAGCTGTTTTAATATCACGTGTTTTCTTAGCTTCCGTTTCCTGTTGTTTAGAAGAGTCGACGCCATTTTTAACCAGCATGCGCACACAGCGAACGTGCTGAAGCTTTTCCGCCAACTGCAAGGGAGTTAACCCTGCACGGTTTGTCGTGTTGGACTTCAAGCGCGAGTTGTTCGTGGAAAAGTTCAACAGCAGACGTATTGCCGCGGCGTTGCCGCTGTCTACGGCGAGATGCAGTGCCGTGTTGCCGTCGTTGTCTCGAAGGTTAAGGTCACAGCTCTCGTTCTTGACGAGGATTTCCACGACGTCGATCTTTTCTTTTTCCATGCACGCCATCATCAGCGCCGTCCGGCCGTTTTGGTCCTGGGCGTTGACGTCGCAGCCGTGACGTAGCAGCAGGCGGAAGACGTGCGCGCGGGCGTCCTTATCGGAAATTCCCACCGACGCGATGGCCGGGGTGCGCTTGTAGCTGTCCCGTGCGTTAAGGTCGAGGACGTTGGGAATGATGGCTTGGAGACGCTGGACGGATTCCTTAGCGATGGCGACGAACATCTCTCTCGCGTCATGCTGACTTTTGGACATTTTGCTGGGAGGTTTTCAGAACGTTCTGGAAGCCTTGTTTGAATACAGAATCTATCCGCTTCTTGCAATCTTATTACACAGCCATGTCTTTGGTTCGAGCCACCTGGGCTGTCAACCAATGGTACAACTGCCAATAACTAAGGCATCCAAATGGTCACGCCATTTGTACACATTTAAATTATTTTCAGACTTTGATGGTCATGTCTTGTGTGTTGAGTTCATTTTTCTCGATGGAAGTTTGACTGAAAAACAAAGGAAGATGATTAGCTTAGAAGGGCAAAACAATTTAGTTTAAAATATGACCCGGCACTGAAACGATAATCTGGGGACGGCCTGGTCGAATGGTAGAGCGTTAGGTCGATAGCCCGAAGGTCTTAAGCTCGGATCTTGAATGGAATTTGTGACTGTAAGGTCCACGCAGCTCTCATGGGTTGGGAAAAGAAAAGGCGGCTGGGCATAGTGCTGACCCTTCATATTCCGAGATCAAGAAACTCTACTTCATCTGCTCAATGGATCGCTAGGTTCAAAGGTGAATCTTTACTTTTAAAATTAAAACTATAAGTGATCTCTGCACTTTCTTT